TTTAAAATGGCAGCTAACTCCTGAACTTTATCATTTTTAATTAACTGATAGTGAGTTATCCAGCTTTGTCTATCAATATTTCTCTATCAGTCACTTAATTAATTTTGCAAATGATGCTTATGTATGCGATTGGAGAATTTTTCTATTATTTAACGTTTCCTTTGTTGTTTTTTTATTCGTCTTTTTAAAATGGCAGCTAACTGGCATTATACAATTACCATTCATTATCACACTGATAATTTTCCCGGATTCACCTATCTTTCCCGGATTCACATAAGGGCGATGTTGTTCCTATCATTTGTATTTCTATCATGAATGAATGACAGTACATCCTTTCATACCCGGCCAATGGTGTAACCCAGACTTTTTCAGAGAGGGGATGCAGAATGGTCTGTTTCAAAGAATAGCCGAATTTTGAGGTCTATTTTCAGGATAGGATGGAAAGGAGCCTCCCCCCCCCCTCCCCCCTCTCCACCTCCTTGGGTACACCACTGCATCTGACCCTCATGGTCCTTTATTGTACACTTTCCAAAAAATCTTTAACGGATTCACTAGTCTTTTGTTCATATTTATTAACCATCCATTAAACCAAATTTCCCATCTATCCTCATCTTTTTATTAATGAAATAATTTTTAATCATCCGTGGATGGAATCTGCTACCCTGCTCGAGTTGCAAATTCTCTTTTGGGTCGTCATCTGATCGTTTATTTATCGTAAGGAGTAATGAGATTTTATCAACCTATTCAGCTTTAGCAATTACTCTGCCAATACAAAACGCATAATTAATCGCCCAGCCCCGTAAATAACTTTGTAACCTATCGGGCACTCACTCTACATAATAAAATTTGTTCCAAGTGAACTCATAGTCATTCCCATGACTCCGTAGAGTTGTTTTAGCGGTCCATTTTGCATCTCAATTCATTGTACGCCGTCTTTCATTGTTATTTTCTGTTGCTATGAACTCATAAATAATTGTGAAACCCCGTGAAATCATTTTGCCTATTGAATTTGTGGACGTCCCATTGTGAGAATTTCTCAGCATGCCCTAACTATATTACTTATTCAGCTGTGAATGCGTAGGAAAAAACGTCAGTTTGAATGCACTAATCTAAACTACAAAATTGTCCATATCCAGGCTCAAACTCCAGTTTTCCAAGCGATTCCCTTTCATTTGCGCATATATAGTCGAATTAATTGTGCACGATTATTGCCGAAATATAATGTGGCGAAGTATCCTAGGCTAGCTGATATTGTTCATTTTACAGGTTTATAATTACTTTCATCAATCATTGTTTGCCTCTTTTTGTTGCCTTGTTTCCTGTGAAGGTTTTCATTAATGCTCTGTGTAATTGCTATCTTATCGCTCAACTCAATTCATTTGCTTCCAAATTGCGTGATTTCTCATTACACAGGTCCATTCTTCCAATTAGATTTGTAAATTAAGTTGTGATTATTTCGCACAGTTATCTGATTACGTCATGCAGTAGTAGCTAATATCTTTGATTATGATCGTAAGGTTTTATCAGTACCGTACGATAACCGATTTATCAGTACGATAACGCTCGAGTTTCATGATGAATTAAATTTTCTACGAGCATGGGGTCAAATCCAATCCAAAAAGTTGTAAAGTGTATTAAGTCGTCAAAATGACCTGTTTTTCACCGTTTCGTTTCCATTAGTTGAGGATGTTCTCACGAAACAACAACAATCCTTTTACACCTGGCAGATGGTCTACGGTGTGCTATCGAAATCTCCTACTATTGTACATTTAGCGCTCCAGCTGTTTGGAACGAATGGTGTCATAAATTGATCCATCCATGTATCTAACAAATCTTTAAGAACTTGGACGTCGTCCGCAAGCTATCAAAATGAGAATTCCGAGCGGTGCTCCGCAGACATTCAGCCTTCGAATACGACAACGCTTTCCGTCGTTGTCGAGAATCTCGAGACCGTCAGTGGGTACAATTGGTGTGGCGATTACTCTGGCGTTAACTTCGGCCGCTGTATTTGGTGTCTGTGTATATCCATACATCAGAAAAGATTACTACCAAGATGCGCAAAAGCATGATCGTGCTTTTCTCAAAGCCGATCGTGAAGAACTGGCTCATGGACAGAGGCCATGGTCGAATCCTTTCGAACGAAAATGAACTCATCATTAATCCACCGTCATCCTATCGATATTTGCTAATCTACAAATGCAGTTATGCAATTCAACAAGTCATCTCTTCAGTGCAGTTGTTTTGTTCATGGAGAAACAAAGGGAAGCGTGTAAAAGTTATTGTCAAGTTGATTGGAATCTGATGGTTACAACTTTCGATCCTTCAACGATTCATATTCATATTGCGTATTTGTCTGTTTAGTGTTTGTTTTTTTATTAGTTGTTTGGTCAGAAGAGAAAAACGGAATGATATTTGAAATGTTGTACGTATTTTTACTTATTTCGGGTTATTTCATTTTGAAAAATGATGGTTGCGAAATTTATCTCAAAGCTCAATTTAGCTGGTCGTGTCGCATTTTTCGGATTTATTGAGATGTGAAAACACGGAGTGGGCTACCTGATGAGTTGATTTGTTTCAGCTGTAATTTTCAAATATTCCTTTCTATTACCCTATCG